ACTTTTGAGACCGAATCGCGGACTGGTGGTACCACGAACTATTGCGAAATATTACTCGAGCAGCTGGAGACAGGCCATCTAACTAGCGGGAGTTTTCTGGAAACTGTTGGTCTGAGCGTACTTGCCTACCCTACAGGCACGTCAGAAATGGGTACTCTGAGAAAGTTTCGGGTTAATGAGATAGTACTGCTTGCAGATGAAATACTGCGGCGGGATGAATGGTCCCTGGCGATCATCAGAGAATGCCTCCCGGACGAGGATGGGCTCGTACGCACGGTTAAGGTGAGAACGGCAGCCGGCGAAACCCTGCGAGATATCCGCCGAATCTGCAACCTGGAGGAAGAAGAAGCAGAATCGACGGGGAACCCAAGCAGCGGAGGAATACTCCGAGTTGGTGAAGGAGGCACTGTGAGTCATGCAGAGCGGCTTGTGGTTAATCTCCTGAGCCACACGTGAGAAGGCGAAGAAGGAGATGTGAGTCATGGAGAACGGTTTGTGGTTAACCTGAGCTGGCGGAGACGAACAGGACGACGAGAGGCGCGATAGGATGGCAGAGACTGCAGGGACTAGGTAGTTGGGGTGAAAATTGGTACTCCCGTGAATTTCCCTTTGGCCGTGTGACGCGAGCAAGGATTTTGCTGGCCCGTGTATTGATCGATCTGTATAAATCTTCCTGTAAAGCACAGTCAATCTATCTCGGTTCCACATTTCGTGCATTCCACGTTCCATTCACTCAACACGATCCGCCTCACACATACATAAACATTTGACATTCCACTCCCTTCGTATATTTACACATCGATTCTGTCATTTGACTTTGTTTTTGTTTTTCTGCTTCATTCGTACCTTACTTGTTTTATTCGCGACCTGAGCGCTCACATTTGGCTCGTTCGTGTGCAGCGTGACGGTGAGCGTGCTGTTCTTATCCAGGCTTGTTTTCTCCCGTTCAGATTTGTTGAATTACGCTCACGGTAACACTTGGTTCTTGTTTTCAAGTTGTTTCGAGATCACTTTGAGGTTTGTACATATTTATTTGCTTATTTGATCGTCTAATAATGCAGTACCGTAGAAATTTGCTGGGTTGTTCGTTCTGTTGAGGTTTTGGGATCCGACGTCCACTACGCGTTACTCGTTGATCTCTTCGGGAGAAACACCTGTTTATTGGGCCCGGTTTTTCTGGATCGTAACCTTAATGTTCCTCCTCCCAAATGAATCAGGTTTTCTGCACTATTTTGGTCTGTCGGATCATTTTTCCTTGGGTGGTTTCAGCAAAACCTCCCTGTATGACGATTTTGGTACGTTAGGGCTTACTTCTTCCCGGGCCCTTGTTTGGAGTTGGAGGGCCTCTGAGTCCCTGTTCACATCCGACAGTTTGGGCAGAACCACCCTTGTGCCACCCACGAGATGGTTTCTGCTTTCAATCTCCTACCAGGCTGATCGTCGGGTGTCACTGTAGCATTGCTACCCGCGGATGTCCGGATTTTTTCGGCTTCTGCTGAAAGCCTGTTTCTATGTCTGGGGTTCCTGAATTCTAGGGCCTAGGCTCGGCTGCCTCTGACGCTTTATGGTCCTTCCACGGCCCAAGTCTGAGTACTCTCTTAAGCAGTACATGCTCGGTGATTGTTACCGCTCTTATCAACGTGGCCAAGTAATCCGGCATGTACCGGTCCCTCAGTCTACCTTGCCGATGAAAGGATCTGGTACACCGTGGATGCGTAAGTTGCGATGTCTACCCATGGCTACATCATGGTTCTTCGGTATCCTCTAAACCACCTCATCCAGCATATTTTTTTCTCTCCTGAGGCGTTTTAGGTTCTTCTCATGCCCGTCAATCCGTCTGGCTAGATTTACACTGGTGGCTGTGATTTCACCCTTGGTTGTCATGCTAGAGTGTGCCCCCCTTTCATTTTCGCCCGTCATTTTCTGCTTTTCCGCCATTTTACTTACATTTCCAGGCACTGCACTTTCCTCGATGGTGACCGGGGGTGGAACAGAAGGTGTGCGCTCCTTCCTCCTGGGCTTGAGTTTAGGCCTGGCTGCTTGCCTTTCTGCTTTCCTCATTTCCCTTTCTATAGTTGTGCAGGCAGGACACACCCACTTCGGGCGTTTGTGCTGCCCGTAAAGTTGGAAGCAAACGCTCGTTAGCTCACTGCATTTCGGGTGATACCAGATGCTGCAGGTGTCACAGCCTATGCCTTGATCAGAAACCTCTGCAGTGCAGCTTTCTTTCCCGCACGGATAATCCTGGTTCCTGTGTCTGTCCTGCCTTTCCCCATGGGGGACCTTGTGCTGGTGCCCATGTCAAACAGATTTAGCTCAAGATCAATTATTAAACGAGGTTGCAGTTTTTAAAAGAGATCAAAAGGTGGGCAGATAGAATATCCGGAGTCAACTGCGGACGCTGTTAAGGTAAAGCCTGTGTTAACGTACGCTAAAAATCTAGTATATGCAAGGCTTTGTACGATATATATAGAAAATCGCCGTTATTAAGCTTAAGGTCAATTGAATTCCGCCATGATATACAGTACCATGAGAGCTCACCTTGTGCGTTTTGATTTGCCAAACATCCAAAACCTTTTTCCCAGTTCCGATATCCCGGAAGTTTCGAATCCTTACTTGGTTTTGCGACTTATTTGATCTGAGAGCTCCCAACGTCAAGCTTTCAAAACGCGCGGCTTACAGATTTGCCTGTTTCTTGAGTGTTCTCAGATAGATCTGGTGTCCGAAGGAAGTTCTGTAGAGTCCCTTTTCCTTTTAATCTCAGCGGCGCTTGAAATCTCTCACCCAGACACGAGGCTGTCTGATTACCGGCTTGTACTCGAACGTTTTTTAATGCTCTTGTTGTTACGTCCAGTCCATCCGAATTCTGATGGCACTCCTGCTACACAGTCAAAGTTCACTGGGCCTGCCTGAGACTCACAGCTGTAAAAAAAGGTGTGGTTTCTTGCACGGGTTAGCTGGGCAAGCATCAGGTCCCTTGTTTCGATTGAACCATTCGACCAATCGATAAATGAACCCGATCGGTCGTGTGCTTTTCGGGTCGGCACAGGAGCAGGGTAGAATCCGAATCCGATGCAGCCTGTGTTGGAAGAGAATCGCCCCAAGAGAATCGGTTGTGGAGCGGTGCGCCATGTGGGAAATTCTGAATGGAAAATGCTTAAGAGATTATGACACTGGGCCAACGCTTGACTCGTCTAAGGTACACGCACTATTTTTCGAAGCGGATTCGGTAAACAGATAATCACAATAAAACTTTGAACTTATCTTAATAGAGGACAACAATATCGCCTCTCAAGTGGCCAGCTCCGGAAATACCACGTATCAGCACAGATCCAAGGCCTTTTAAAGGTCACAACTGTTGCGCAGCTCCTGGCATTCTCCTGCAATCTATTCCAGAAAGGCACCACTCGCTTTGTGAAGAACCTAGCCCTCAGCTCCCCCTGGAGTGCTCTGTTTACAGCTTCAGGCTGTGATATCTAGTACCACACTCTGGAGCAGTAAAAAAGAGGCTGCTTAGTTTTATACCAACCTTTTTAATATATTGAAGGCTTCTATTAAGTCGGCTCTGGTCCTTCTGCGTGACAGCGAGAAAAAATTCAGGTCCTGCAGACGCTGCGAGTAGCTCTTTCCTACCTTTCCAGTGACCATTCTGGTTTCCAGTCGTTGCATCCTCTCTAGACACTCCATATCATTGCTATAATATGGAGTCCAAGCTTGCACGCAGTATTTCAGCAGTGGGTGCACCATTGCCTTATACAGCGGAACAAACAATTCTGCCTTCCTGCATGTAACTGTGGTCCGCAGTCTGAAGAGTACTCCTCTTGCTTTATTTGCAACCACCTGACATTGTCTTGTAGGTCTGAAGTCCTTTATGACCATTATTTCTAGGTCCTTTACCTCCGTCGTGCCACGTAGCGCTGCCTCCCCGCTGGAGTCTACATTGTTCGTCAGTAGCTGACACTCGGCAAAATTCAGGGGTAACTCCCATCGAGCCGACCAGCTGCGAACTGCATCTAGGTCCTGGGTTAAGTTCTGACCCGCTATCTTCACATCGTGTGAAAAGATGAAACAGGAGTTGTGTAATTCTAGCGTGAGTTCGTTGATGAATAGAAGGAGAAGAAGGAGCC